AGAGCGAAACTCCGTCCTAAAAAAAAAAAAAAAGTTATGCCAGGTCAAAGTGTGTTGTGTCTGACATGGCCTCTTGGCACTCTTGCTGTGAGACAGGCCAGTGCAGGAGCCCGGGTCACACAGACCCAGTGTGTATGAGTGCCTGGCTTGGGGCCATCTCCCAGCAGCCTGGTCCAGGCTCAGCAGCAGTGTGGGGCAGCCAGCAACCCCTGTGAGGGGGCAGGCACAGCTGGACTCTGCCTGGCACCACTTGCAGAACGCACAGCATTCATCAGCTGTGGCCAGCTCAGGATTTTTATTTCCTCAGCGCAGAAGAACCAGGTTCATGATCCTCCCCATGCTAAGGAGAGCAAGGGCTTTGTTACCAGGGAATGGGGAGCTCTGGGTGGTGCCAGTTTCCAGAAGTTTCTGCACCAGCAAGAGAAAGGAGCAGCGAAGTCTGTGGGCTTGGACTTCTCGGACCTAGGTCTGAGTCCCGACTACCCATACCAGCTGAGCCAAGTTACGTAATTCTCAGTGCCTCACCTTTCTCATCTCTCAAATGGGGTTAGCACCTGCCTCAGAATTGTTCTATGCACCAAATTCAGTAAAGTTCACATGCACCTGGCGGTACTGTTTGATAAGGGGAGGAAGGCCTTAGCAAAACTCCAGAGAGGACCTGTGTAGACAGTGTGGAGGCCCATTAACAGAGGCCAAGGCCCTTGTCCAGCCACGGAGGAGCTGGGCTCCATGCACAGCGGCGGCAGCAGGCAAGAGGGGAGAATTCGAGAGATTGGGAGGCTGCAGAGGACAGGACCTGGATGTGGCAAGTGAGCGGGTGTAGAAGCTTTAGGGAAAGGAAATGCCCAGTTCTGAGGCTCTCTGAGATGGGGGTGGTTGCTGGAGCAGGTTGGGACTGGAGGAGGTAAGTGCAAGTGGGTAGGGAACAGGAGGGTGTGTGTGTGTGTGTGTGTGTGTTTCATGGTGGGGTTTTTTTTTTTTTTTTGAGACCAAGTTTTGCTCTTGTTGCCTAGGCTGGAGTGCAATGGCGTGATCTGGGCTCACCATAACCTCCGCCTCCCAAGGTTGAGCAATTCTGCCTCACCCTCCCAAGTAGCTGTGATTACAGGCATGCACCACCACGCCCAGCTAATTTTGTATTTTTAGTAGAGATGGGGTTTCTCCATGTTGGTCAGGCTTATCTCAAACTCCCAACCTCAGGTGATCCATCCACGTCAGACTCCCAAAGTCCTGGGATTACAGGCTTGAGCTACTGCGCCTGGCCAGGAACAGGAGTTTGGGGAGCCTGTGGAACATCCAGGTGGAGGTGCCCAGGGCCTAACAATTGGGGCAGAGGCAATAAACAGCTGGGGCTGGAATCCTGGTCTCCAGGCACCCAAGCTAGAGCTGCTCCCTCCTCAAGACAGCCTCCTGGTGGGCTTCACACACTTCTTTCCACACAGCCCCCCGCTCTGCTGCGTCTTTCTCCCACACTAGATTGTGAGCCCAAGATTGGGGGGGGAGGGCACTTTTCCTCCTATTATGGCCTTGATGGCCTTGACCGTAGGTGACTCCTGATGGCCTCATCTGGGAAGTGAGGCAGAGGGACCAGCTGCTGTCTGGGGGTTGCAGCCTTGCAATCTAGAATTCTGAGTGACATCCTAAGGCTCTAAATGGGGCAGGAGCTCTGTGAGTGCCCGAGGACAGAGGCAGCACTTGGGAGCTATGACTGTTTTGGTTAACTGATTCCACTGAATGAATGGTGAATGCAAGAGGAAGTAAGTTAATAAGGATTGAATGTAGCAATATCAGTATAGGAATAAGGCTGGAGTGTGCCTTAAATCCTGTCTGGAATGTAGTGGCACAGATGAATGGATGTGTTCTCCAGCCAGCCTTTAGCCAGGGAAAGCCGTGGCTGTGCCCGTGCTGGCTCTTGCCAACAGTGGCCTCCCGTCCCCACCCCCAGCCTGCCCTGCAGACGATATGGGCTGGTGTGCGCTATGGCTGCGATCAGGAGCCCGCCTCCGCTGTGGGGGAAGGGCACCAAGAAGAGGCTGAGAGGGAGGCAGGGGAAAGGTCCAAAGCCTGATCAGCAAGTTCCTCAGATTTTGCTGAAGGAGATGGTAGGAGAAGCAGCAATTTGTCTTGGTTCCTGTGGCTCTACATTCCTGTCAAGCCTGCAGCTGAAAACCTGGCTTTTCTTTATTTCTGGCCCCACCCTGCCCCTATCCAGCCACTTGATTAAGATCAAGTTTCCTCCTTCATGCCCTCATCCCACCCCTACTTTTTTCCTGGGGCCAGTAGATCCTGGGAGGGTGGACTTCACTCTTTATTCATGGTTGGGAAGTGGAAGGGAGTCTAGATTCAAGCCCTGACGCTGACCCTTAAAACTGGAAAATTCCAGCGGGTTGTGGTGGCTCATGCCTGGGTGGGCAGATCACCTGAGGTTGGGAGTTCGAGACCAGCCTGACCAACATGGAGAAAACCCATCTCTCCTAAAATACAAAATTAGCTGGGCGTGGTGGCGCATGCCTGTAATTCCAGCTACTTGGGAGGCTGAGGCAGGAGAATCAGTTGAACCTGGGAGGCGGAGGTTGCAGTGAGCCAAGTTGCCATTGCACTCCAGCCTGGGCAACAAGAGCAAAACTGTCTCAAAAACAAACAAAAACAGGAAAATTCCAGGCACTTGGCTTAACTTTTCTGAGCCTCTGCTTCCTCATCAGTCAGATGTGAGTAATTCTCCCCTACCTGTGCCTTTCTAAGTCAGCATAGGCCCAGCACAGTGGTTTATGCCTGTAATCCCAACACCTTGGGAGGCTGAGGTAGGAGGATCACTTAGGCCTAGGAGTTTGAGACCAGCCTGGGCAAGATAACAAGACCCCATCTCTGCAAATAAATAAAATTAGCCAGGCATGGTGGTGCGTGCCTGTAGTCCTAGCCACTTGGGAAGCTAAAGTGGAAGGATTGCTTGAGCCGAGTTCAAAGTTACAGTGAGCTATGAACACACCACTGTACTCCAGCCTGAGCAACAGAGCAAGACCATGTCTCTAAGTAATGGATAAATCCAAGCATATCGAACTCGGGTATGATATAGGCGTTGGAATGACTCATATCCATCCTGAGTGTATCGTATCGCCCGGGGATGAGTTGTGCTCTCTCTAACCCTTGCTCTACTTAGAGGAAAGAGCAGCTCACTCCCAGAACTTCAACACAAGTCTCACTTGCTAACAGGAAGAGCTCCCTGGCTCACAGCACCACATACATACACGTCCTCAGGTAGCTGGGGGACAAACTGGCCTCTTCCGGTGTCTGACAGCCCCTTCCTTGTCACTCGGGCCTCAGAGAGAGGCAGCCTTCCTGTGTCAGGAAGGCTCAGAAACCATTTCCCATTCTGCCTGCTTTTGCCCTGCAGGGCAGGCCAGATTGATACTGAGGGGTAGTAGGGAGGGCTTTAGCTCCCCTGCCCCAAATAATCTCCTGGCACCCCCTAAACCTACACCCAAATCATAAACAGTGGGCTTGCTATGCAGAGCAAATTCTAAGTCAAGTCCTAAAGTCTTCCCTTTCTTCCTGCCAAATTTGAGCTCCTCCTGCAGTGACAGGAGCCCAACTATTAGGGCTGTGACTACTGCCTTAGCATCCAAACATCGATCCTGCCGACCTGCTGGAAAAATCCCAGCACCAGTAATTGTTGAAGCTGAAGGGGAGATGGGAAGTTCCTAGATGGCCAAGGCTGGAGGCCTTGGGGGCTTTCTGTCCAGAAATGGCCTTTGGCTTCCTGGATCCGGGCCTCAGTGCAACCGGGGCCTCCAGGGGCTGCGGAGCTGGGGGTCCCAGCCAGGCTCTTGCTCACCAAACTTGCAGGAAGATAACGAATGAATTTGCAGTGAAAACCAGCATGCACT